CTTCTCTTCAGAGCTGGCCTCAAGCCACGCAATTTTTGAGGCCTAATACTTTGCATTCTGCTCTTCTTACCCCCAAATTGAAGTGTAGGTGCCTGGTATCCCTTGGTGTGTGCTGCGACTGGTTCTTGCTAAAGAGCAGCCCCTGGGGAACACTGGGACTCTGTCAGTAACAAATCATGGTGACACAAGGGTGAAAGAGGTAACTGCTGTGTACAGGCTCTCACTTGAAGCCACCTCTCTCCCCAAGGGCTGGAAAATGTGTAATGGAATACAAATGGTCTTCATAGGCAAATGAGGGAAATAAAATCGGGTCTGAAATCTGCGCAGAGCTGCTCCGATGAGCAGAGCAGGCAGGTGCCTGGGATGGATGCCTGTGTCCACGGGGAGTTGGCATGGGAAAGGGACCAAACCTACTGGAAATTGTTTGAGGGAATCTGCGAACGTGTAGACAGAAGGTTTGAGCAGGATTCGTAGGAGGGAAGCAATTACAAAGGTTTCTCATTAGTAATGACAAGTGAGAATGTTCTTGAGTGGAAATATGGTTAAGGTGGGGAGCAGAGGTTTAAAGTAAGGGGTCAGCTCTTAGTGTAGAGGGCGGTCAGCAGCGGGGCCATGCTGGCAGTGTTACCTTCAGTGCTTACTCCCATTTTTCCGCATCTTTAATGGACACGTTGGAGTGAAGCTGGCTGACTGTTGGCCCTTGCTGGTGACCTTCTTGTAGGAACCAACTGCAGGAGCTTTGTGACCGGACCATAAAATATGGCAGGCGATAAATGTGGAGTGATGTATGGGAGAGGCAAGGAGGTAATCCTAACATTGCTTGTCAATGAGGGCCTCCTTGTTCCTTTCTACTACTAAATGAAATCTTGGGTTATGATTGATCCGAGCAAGTTTCTCTACAAGACAGTCTGTTCCTAACAGTAGAAAAGAGAATTGAGCAAATATCACTGTGCTGCTGCGGGCATCTGTGGTGCGTTTGTCCTGAACACTGTCTCATTCCTCTACTCTCTCATCTCCGAATATGGAGAGCAGGACAGGAGAAGTTGCTGAGGAGGACACAATTAATGGTTTGGGTGCGATGACTTCTGTGTGGGGAAACTACAAAAATGGTTGGAATTCCTCACCCGGGAGAGGAGTGAATCAGAGCTGTGGTGGTAACTGCAGATAGTGTTGGAAAAGTCAATGTGGGTGGGCAGGCCTGAGGTGTCCCTTCAGGCTGGAGGTGACAGAAGGAGGCTGGCAGGAGGCAGAGGGTAAATGGGTGGGTTCCTGGAAGTCAAAGGCATTCAGGATTATTAAATGCCACGAGGCTGCCATTTCTGGGGTAAGAGCTTCAGGACATGGGAGAGTTTCTGTAAATTGCTGTCATCTGCAGAGGGGTCCGTAGGGGGGGTACCCAGTGTGGCTGTTTTACAGTCTGTGTTTCCGTGGTGTCTGTGATACTGGATCCTCATTTCGTGATGGATAGTTGAGTTCACCTATTTTTTTGCTTCGAAGGCCTTAAGTTTGTGTGTGAACTCTCAGAAAGGCCGGGGTGGTGACTGAACCTCTTACCCAGGTTCCCTCTTCTGTCAGCCTCAAGCAAAGTCCCTTGTCTGTGTCCTCCTTGTTGTGGTAACTCTGCAGACTGATGCTCTGTGCTCTCCTGCACTTGAGCAGTGGCAGGTGCTGGAGATGATGTGTCTTTGGTGTGTGATGCTCACCCAGCAGCGTCCTCCTGCGCTGTGGGGTAACAAATATCTACAGCACAGAGTAATCCAGGTGCTTTCCTAGTGCCAAGGCTGAGGGTGTCCAACACGTGCGTTCACAGAGTCATCAGGTGGTTTGAGTTGGAAGGGACCTTAAAGCTCATCCAGTCCCAACCCCCCTGCCAGCAGCAGGGACACCTTCCACTAGACCAGGTTGCTCAAAGCCTCATCCAACCTGGCCGAGAACACTTCCAGGGAGGAGCAGCCACAGCTGCTCTGGCCAGCCTGGGCCAGTGTCTCATCACCCTCACACCAAAGTATTTCTTCCTCACATCTCATCTCAATCTACTCTCATCCATTCTTGGTCCATCTTCAGTCCTGGAGTTGTTGTGACAAAGCATAGATTTGTGATGTCTCAGCATCATTTTATTCCATCCCTTTTAAGTGATTCTGGTTGCAGCTCTCTGCCCAGGGAGGTGTTTTATCACATGATGGTTTCTTCTGAGAAAGTTTTTTGCTGAACAGCACTTTTAGCCATGCGCTGTCTTCATGGGCTCCCCCTGGGAGATACAGTCATCTTCCAGCTGGATGAGGGTCCATCTCCACAAAGGATTACGTTTCCTGGAGGCAGCGGAGCTGTGCTCGGCCTTGTATGTTTTCTGCAGCGCTCCAGTTGGGCTGGAGACCAAGCGGCTGCAGCGTGAAAGGAGAATTACAGGGAATGGCTGGTTTCCTTCGCAGATGTCCTGTCTCATCTCTTGACTCTGCTTACACAGCGGTACTGTCTGAACGTAGGTCTTGCAGCTACAGTTGTGTGGCTTGGCATGTTTGTGGAGGCCAGAGCGGGGTCAGGAAACCACGTGAGGCTTCAGCAAATGCTTTGGAGTTCGATGACTCAAAGGCGCAAAATAGGCTTTAGCCTTGCTGCCTGGGGATCTTGCCTGCAGTAAGCTCATGCAGTCACTTGGACAAACCCAACCACAGCCCTTCATGTCTCCAGCTCCTGGCAGAAGCACTGATTCTCCTGTGGGCCTGGTGTCCAAGTTCACGTGGGGTGAGAGTGCCCGCACTGTGTTATAAAGCATCTGGGAGTGTCCCTGTTTGCTGCGTGTCCCCTGCTGAATGACCCTGTGGGGCAGCAGAGGAAGCTCATCTGTCCTTTCTCTTCCAGGCTTACCTGGAGTCCTTCTACAAGTTCTGCAAAGTGCTAGGAGGTACCACAGCAGATGCCATGTGCCCCATCCTGGAGGTAGGTCTGGAAACCCCTGTGGCTGGATGGCATTGCCGTGATATTCATTGCTCTGTGCTCAGGCCCAGCTTTCCTGCCAGCATTAAGGATGCTCAAGATCTTTTTGAGCATCCCCGTGCACACTCTGCCTGCTCAATGGGAGACCTAGGAAGTGACTTTGGACAGGTTTGGTTCTCCAGTTCTCATCTTGCCAGCTGCTGACACAGTCTGTTGCCTTCATGGCAGCATGTTCATCCTCTCACATGAATAAGGAGCAGGAGAACAGCCAGAGCTGTTGAGTCTACGGCCCATCTGCATGCCAAGGCTGTGGGGTGTGCAGGGCTCAGGAGCAGTAGGTGAGAGACCTCCTCACCTCAACCTCCTTGACCTGGGCAGGGTTCTGCTCAGTGATTTGATTTGTGCCTTGGGTGAGGATTTCCTCACCTGTCTGCTACTGGGCATACTGGGAGCCTACACACGTGGGCACCATATAGCTGTGTGTGTCCCAGACAGTTGCTCCTGCTGCCCTCTGATGTGGCTCTGTTCAGAGCAGCATTGGTATCTGCTGGCCAGTGGCAAAGATGTTGCATCCCAAGGTGAAACGTTTTCCCGCAGTTCGAAGCTGACCGGAGGGCCTTCATTATCACCATTAACTCGTTTGGTACTGAGCTGTCCAAGGAGGACCGAGCAAAGCTGTTCCCGCACTGTGGCAAGCTCTATCCCGAGGGCCTGGCTCAGCTGGCCAGAGCAGATGACTACGAACAAGTCAAAAATGTTGCTGACTACTACCCTGTGAGTGCTTTGGGGTGAGGGCTGTGCGGACCAGGGCAAGGACCAGAGCTTCTCGGGGGTCAGGGGGAACTTGTGGGTTGACAGCCTGGGATGGGGAGCCCTATTTTCTGCTGCTGCTGCTGTTGACCCCGCTTGGCCACGGTGGAGTTGGTTTGCTGGAGCTCTTGCACCAGGGATGCTGTTGGCTTGTTAGTCATGGTTGTCACTGCAGTGATGATAGGGAGGCCAGGTGTGCCCTGTGTGCCCGTCCCATGGTGTGGGGGCTGCCCTCACCACCAAACTCTTGGGGTATTTCTGTGGCAGCAGTGACAGTCTCTTTTTGGCTGGTTGCAACCCGTCTTCAGCAAGAAGTGGGTCATCTCCAGCCCTAGTGGGTCACTCTGAGCTCTGGTTCAGTCACAGGGAAGACGCTGACCTGGGAGCACACGCTCGGATGTCTGCACAGGGCAGACTCTTGGCTTCTGTGTCCTCTGCTGACCTGACATGGTGGCTGGGGTGTCTGTTTGACGTATGGGGCCCAGGATCGCTGCTGAGCTTGGAAGGGTTTGGATATATCCCCTTGTGATGTCTTCCTGCAGGAGTACAAGCTGCTATTTGAAGGGGCTGGCAGCAACCCTGGAGACAAGACCCTTGAAGACAGGTTCTTTGAGCATGAGGTGAGTGAGCCCTGAGACACTTTGCAAAGCTCAGGGTAGCAGCAAGCTTGGCTGCTGCCCTCTCAGCAGTGCTGTGGATGAACAGATTTTGGGGAGAGAGGAGGATGCTGATCCTCTGCTCCAGCGAGGAAACGGGGTCCCAGCATGATGCTTGGTCCAGGTTCCCACCCAGACAGATTGCGGGGCAAGTTTGGGGCTGCTTGTGGATATTTGGTCCATCGATAGCAAAACCAGAGTATAATTATGGGGGAAAGGAGGATTTTCACAGTACATGAGGGTATAAACATTTTCCCCTTCAAACGTCAGAGCCTGTCCTGAGCCACGTGCTGTAGGTTAGAGCTGCCCCGAGGGCCTGGAGAGGTGCAGAGCAGGATCCCTGTGCTGAGCACCCCGGCCTGCTGGGGAGGTCATGGGGACTCTCATGGGACACTTGCCTTGACCACCTCCTCCCATCTGAGGTGGCCAAGTGACATGTCCTCCTCTGGGATTTCCCCAGGTGAAGCTGAACAAGCTGGCTTTCCTCAACCAGTTCCACTTTGGAGTCTTCTACGCCTTTGTGAAGCTGAAGGAGCAGGAGTGCCGCAACATCGTCTGGATCGCAGAGTGCATCGCCCAGCGGCACAGGACCAAGATTGACAACTACATTCCCATCTTCTAACCCTGCTCTGCTCCTGTCCAACCCTCCCACCCCTGGAGTCTGGAGGGACCCCTGCCTAACTCCCCGAGTTATCCCTTGCCCAGACTCCAGGGCTGTCCTGTCTGTGGAACTGGCTCAGATCAGGAACCTGTACAGTTGCTAGTTAAATTATTCACAAGCTGAAGTTTAAGTTGTGTGTGCCCTGAGGGGTCTGGAGGGACCAGTGGCGCAGGCTGGGCCCTGTGCAGCAGGAGGGACACCTCCTGTTGTGTATCTACTAGTCCCCGTGTTGCTCTACTCATCTGTTGTATGTGCTTACGCTCACGGGGCAGCACCATCTGGGGGTTTGCTGCCTCCCAGGGGTTCCTACTGCCGCATCGGGTCTGCCATGGCCGGGGGTCCTCTCTGTCGGTGCTCTGCACCCCTCCTAGTCAGTGTTGTTCCCGTGAGATTTAGTTGGAGTGTGATTTGTAGCATAGTCCATGCTGCTGTGCAATCCCTGCATCCCCCTGTAGCTAACCCTGACCGGGGAGAGACTGAGCAGCCCTGGCCAGGTCTGGGACGGAGCTTGTGGAGCACACTCCTCCCTGCTCCAGCACCATCTGCACCGGTGCAGCCTGGCCCTCTCCTCAGAAGCAGCTCTCATCAGTCTCCCTCCTGCCCTGCAGCTTGAGAGGGCTCTGTAAGTTGGCTGAGCAACCTCCTACCCTGAAGACCCACAGCTGTGCAAGTGTCTGTGGTGGACCAGCAGGGTGCTGGACCTCCATGCCTCCCTGGAGCAGGGGCTCTGGGCTGGCGCTGCTGTGGAGCCATACGGGCACAGCCGGCCACTGGGCAGGGCAGCCCTCGGTCTGGCTCTGCTGAGTCACCCTGATGAGTGCAGAGGGTGGCTGGTGGCACAAATGTCCCACACCCCACATGTCTGTGGTTACAGGGTGGGAGCCAAGCCCTGGGCAGGGCCTGGCTGCCCAGCTCCTTGCTGCTCTGTGTCCCCACTGGCTCCCACTTGCACTCGAAGTCTGGGAGACGCCCCGTGGTGGGATGGCAGCAGAGAAGCCTCGCTGGTGGGAAACGTGCTTGGTGGTGCTGGGAGGGATGGATGGAGAGCGGCTCTGTCCCAGCTTGTGCTGTGGTCACCTCTGCAGTGTTTGTTACCCTGTGATCCCCTCCTCTCTACACCAATAAATATCTGCCTACTGCACTGTGCTCTCCCTGCTTGCTTGGGTGCCTGCTCCCATGTCCCCAAGGGCAGCCTGTGTCAGCCACAGGGCTTCTTACCCAGGGAACTGGCTCTTTGTGGCAGCAGAGACTGGTGTGGCTTCTCTATCACTTCACAGAATTACAGAGTGGTGGGGTTGGAAGGGACCTCAGGAGATCATCCAGTCCAACCCCCCTGCCAAAGCAAGTTCCCTGCACCAGGTTGCACAGGAAAGTGTCCAGGTGGGTTTGGAACATCTCCCCAGATGGAGACTCCACACCCTCTCCAGACACCCTCTCTTTCTCTCTCTCTGACACAGTAAAGTGTTTCCTTAAGTTTGTCTGGAACTTTGGGTGTTCCAGTTTGTGCCCATTGCCCCTTGTCCTGTCACTGGGCACCACCAAAAAGAGCCCGGCCCCATCCATTTGGCCCCCACATTTCAGGTGTTTATAGACATTGATCAGATCCCCTCTCAGGCTGCTCTTCTCCAGGCTGAACAGTCCCAGCTCTCTCAGCCTCTCCTCGTAAGGCAGATGCTCCAGGCCCCTCATCATCTTGGGGCACTGGTTTCTACCACGGATGGGGGGTTGTACCACCCTTTGGGGCCCAGGCTGTATGTGATGCCTGGTCTGGGGGTGCTGATGGGTGCTGAGCTGGGGGGTGCCCGAGGGGTGCAGCCCTCGCTGCTCACGAGCCAAGGGGCTGTGTGGCCTTTGCTAAGCTTGTCCCTCAGCTTCCCATGTCAGGCTGTCTGCGTGTGCCACTGTCACCCCTTCTGTCCTCACCCTTGGAAGGACCATGGAGTTGGAGCAAAGCAAAATGAAGCTTTGGGGTAGGGGCAGGAGTAAGGGGGAGCGGGTGCAGGCTCTTCCTGGCAGGCTGACCCTGTCCTGGAGCTGCCCCACACAAGGCTCCCACCACGGTGCTCAGCACAGTGCCGACTGTGACCCAGCTCTGCTCTGTCACCCCTGACCAAGTGTCACAGCGCTGCGCCGCGGAAGGAGACTGCCAGAGCCCAGGGGCGTATCAAGAACAGATTTATTTAAAAAGTGACAATTACGTAGTTCATCTCGTGAAGAGCTCTGCAGCCCAGCCTCGGCCCCGGTGCTCGCCGGGAGCATGTGGAGTGTGTAACGAACGGCAGGGGGACGGGCATGGCGGCGGCCACGGGGTGCCGGGCCCGACCCAGCCAAGAGCTGACGGAGACAAATTCTCGCAGCTCCCAGAGCAGTGAGGAAGATGGGGGGGAGCTGAGAAAGGCCTGAGGTACATCCCAGCCCGTGG